CTGTAAAGCCTGTACTTATAATGGGGCAGACAAAGGCGATTAAAAATAATTGGAGACAGACTACTTTTTGTTGAAAAGAAGTTTGGTGAAAAGAAGATGAGAGAGGTGTATGTATGTAATTAGAGTTAAATCCCACAGCTGTGCAGCCCAGCATCACTGTACTGCCTTCCAGTTTGTACTATCTTCCTTTCCCAGCCAGACTTCTTTTAGCATTGTTTTCTCTTCTAAAAATAAAGCCTTGCAACACTGGCTGGGTAGCTCAGTTGGTTAGAGCATTGTCCTCATATGCCAAGGTTGTGGGTTTGATCCCCGGTCAGGGCACAAACAAGAATCAACCAATGAATGCATAAATAAGTGGAACAACAAATCCATGTTTCTCTCTCTCTCTCTCAAAAAAAAAAAAAATCAATGAAAAAAAAAAAAGCTTTACAGATGGGTAAAGTGAAAATTAAATGGCTCTCTTTCCCCTACCCTGACTCTCTCAAATTTCTTCCCCAATAGGTTACAAGCAGAGCAGACACTGCTGAGAGTCCTTGTCTATGCATATTATTTTACACAAATGGGATCACATTATGCTTATTGTTCTACAGTTCATTTGTATGAAATATTACCTAGACATTACTTTTATGTCAGTGTGTATAGATCCTATGAAATACTGCTACATAAGTCCTCCTAAGCTATAGCCTATATACCATAGGACTTACTTGCTTAAGAATATCCCATGATTTCACATCTTTTGAAATCATTCATATTCCCCAGTCTAGTATTCAAGACCTTCTGGTATGAAACCACCTTAATAGTTCAACTTGATCTTCTACTATCTTACACTTGCCCCAGGCCCCAGCCAGCTGCACTGATTATTGATGATTGTATGTGTCTTTGTTAGTATTTTTTCTTGTGTCTAAAATTTCTCTCATGTTACTCATCTTTTTGTGTCCAAATGCTATTTTCCTTCTTGCTGTCTTTCCTGCTTCTTTTTCCCAAATAGATTTTTGGGGGCAGAGAATATGTCTTTTCAGCATTGTATATTCAGTGCCTTTTATAATTCATGCTCTGAAGAAGCACTAGTATAATCTAGTAGGAGAACAAGACAGACAAACTTGAAACATTAAAGGACCATTTCTGAGAATCCTAAGTAGAGCACACCTTATAAGCGGGGGCAGCATTTCAGAGGAGGATAGAGTCACTGCTCATGGATACCTGGGCATAGGGATGTTAGGGTGGTTATGAAGGCTTCATGGGAAAGTAGGATTTGAATTGGGACCTGGCAGGAGGGTATGGTTTGCATAGGTGGAGGGAGGGAAGGGTGGCTGTTGTGGCCCAGGGAACAGAAGGCCCAGAGGTGGCAGTTGTCAAGTTGCTGAGTGGAGAAAGCCAGATGAGAAAATGCGCGTATTGAAGAGTGCTGGGTCCTGAGGCTGCGCCAGGAGATGCGGGGCAGGCAGCAGGAGTCACTGGAACCTCCAGCACAGGGAGCACCCTGAGGAACTGGTGTACTGTGAGGTTCTATCCCATGCCAAGCTGTGCTGGAGTCTGAGGCAAAGGAACTCAGTAATACTGACCCCATCTTCATTCACAATTTTGATATTCTGTTCATTGTAGATTTTTTTGCATTAATTTTGATTGTTAAATATATTGCATTAAAACATGATTATTCTTGGTTACCGCGTTTTTAGACACCCTCTTAAATTTTGTGCCTCACTCCCAGTCCTGTCTATTTCTGAAGTTTGGTGGAGGGGACATGGGTATTTATTTTATTATTAATCATGGCTTACTCATGTTATAAATATTCTTGGTTAGCAGACAGTAGTTCATAAAAACAATTAAGATAAAGAAATTAGAATTTTAAGGTTAATTTGGAACTTTGGGACCTGAAAATCAAAAGGGGAAAAGAATCATTTGGGCTCCTAAGTCAATATCTAGGGGAGAATGACTCCCTCTTGCTGCAGCGTATGCAGGGCAAGCAGAAGAGAGTGGTTTTGCTCACATCTAAGTGAGTGAACGACGGCTGGATGGGGGTACCAGAGGCTGTTGTCCACTTGGAGATAGGCCTTCAGCAATTCAGCTGCTGCAGCCAGAACAACTGCTGGAGGCAAGCTTCCACAAATGGGCCACACAGAGTGAACCTGACCCACATCTCACATAAAACAAACCCATCCAGCCATGCTTAAGGAGAAGCAGCTCACTGCTTACCACAGGGCCATGGCCCAGGAAGCAGCGGAAGATTCATGAACTCTATACATGTCTCAAGGCTACTTGAGTCCAATAAAAGAGGTGATGTTTGATACTAGTACATCAAAAAATGTAAAATCTAAAAAATATGAAATCTATTGTTCATTAGCACATTAGTGACTAATAAAGGATTATTTTGAGCCAGGAAAGTCAATGAGTATGCAGCACAAATCTCAAATAAGGCCAGGGAAAGGTTGAAAGGTGCAGGCTCCTCCCCTCGCTCTGTCCCCAGGTGCACTGCTCAATCTTTTTTTTTTTTTTTAATCTATTTTTATTGATTTCAGAGAGGAAGGAAGAGGGAGAGAGAGACAGAAACATCAATGATTAGAGAGAACCACCGACCCGCTGCCTCCTGCTTGCCCCCCACTGGGGACCGAGCCTGCAACCTGGTTATGTGCCTTGACTGGAATCGAACCTGGGACCCTTCAGTCTGCGGCCAATACTCTGTCCACTGAGCCAAACCGGCTAGGGCATGCTCTGTCTTTTGATGTGACCTCCCAGTCAGGGCCAGCGTTCAGTGAGAGCTTATTAGGGCTCCGGGTGGCTGTTTTGGCATGACATGTAAAAGCCATAGGCTACATTTTATCATCAGGTGAGTGGGTGGTCACAGATGATGGCTGATTCTGAGGCCTAGGACCAAGATCCTCTCCACCACATACTTGCTAGGATAATGACCCCTCTTGTTGGAACTACTGGCAAAGTTGTTCTTCAGAGTTGAAGGAGAGATAAAGAGTTTTCCAGACAAAAAAGCTGAAGAAATTCATCATCACTAGACTGGCCTTGCAAGAAGTGTTAAAGGGCATTCTCCAAGCTGTTGAGCAAAATACCTGAACAGAATGAAGACTTCTTATTAAGAAATTGCTTCTGGTGGAGGTACTAGAATGAGTGGCCATCATTAAGGTAGAGCTCATCCACTGCAGAACCAGCTGACGTGAGTCCATAAGGGGAATCAGTCATGCAATTGCGGCTGTGGATATTCTTTTATGTAGTTACTAGAGGCCCGGTACACAAATTTGTGCACAGGTGGGGTGCCTCGGGGTGGCCTGCGGAGATGGGGCCCCAGCTTGCGCCCCCAGCCTCACAGCCCAGCAGCCCTGCCTGGCATCCTACCTTGACCTGGCGCCGCCCGCTTACCTGCTCCACCATCCTGCCATGGTACTGCTCTTGTTGGGGCCCATTGGGGCCAGCGACGCCTCCACTGCCACCCACTGCCAGCGCTGCGTCGCCAACACCCACCATGTTTCGCGCCACCCCCTGGTGGTCAGCACACATCAGAGCGAGTGGTCGAACTCCCAGTTGAACACCTGGTCAAACTCCGGTCTAATGACCACCTGAGGGGACAATTTGCATGTTAGGCTTCTATTATATAGGACTAGGGGCCACTGGTGGGGTCCCTTGGCCTGGCCTGTGGGATCAGGCCAAAACCAGCTCTCCAACATCCCCCAAGGGGTCTTGGATTGCAAGAGGGTGCCAGCCAGGCTGAGGGACCCCACCAGTACATGATTGGGGCCGGGGTGGCGGGGAGTGGAGCGGCACAGATGCGGGAGGTTGGCCAGCAGAGGAGGGACTGTAGGAGGGCGCCAAGGTGTGTCCAGCTGACTCATCAGTCCCGATCAGCTGGACCCCAGCAGCAAGCTAACCTACCGGTCGGAGCGTCTGCCCTCTGGTGGGCAGTGTACGTCATAGCGAGTGGTTGAGTGGCCTTAGTATATCATTAGCATATTACACTTTGATTGGTTGAACAGCCAACCGGACAACCAGACACTTAGTGTGCCGGCCAGCACGGCCATGGGTAAACCTGAGAGGGGGCGGTGAAGGATTAGAAAAGACAGACAAGAGAATAAGCTGGGGCTAGGTGGGACACTGCCCTCTGATTAGAGAGAGAGTGCCATGGCCTGTAAGCCTAGTCTTTACTTTATAGCCAGATTCCACGAGGCAAAGTAAGGGTTTGGTCAAGATGTTTACAATGTTCTTGCAGATTTCAAATCTTACTCAATTACATGCACCTGAACTCTATCAAGCCCACATCACTCAACCTCCTGGGACCACAGGTTTGGACCATAAGGTCAAGCTTACAACTATAGCTTTTGGCTATAATTGTACTGGGACTTGCACGTGGCTTTGCCACGAGAGGATCGTGCCCTCTTATTAGTCCGAGGCTTGAACCTGTCCAAATGCTGTAGCTGCTCTCTACACTTAGCATATTAGGCTTTTATTATATAGGGTCTTTATTGGTTCTGTACTTCCACCTCATTGAAACAATGGTATAGTATCCAGTGCTACTGGGATAATCACATGCATACTCCTTCCCAGTGAGCAAATACCTTAGAGTTGTACCAGACCTCACTTGATCCTGGCAGAAACACATCAGCCACACTAGTTTTTGGTTCTGTGAATGGATGAATCAATAAAGCCCTTTCTTTTAGGCAATTCTGTTGAGCCTGGCTTCTTGAGCTCTATTCTCAAAATAATAAACTTCCATGTTTCTTCAAGACCATGTTTAAACCTCCTGTGAAAACCTCGTCCTCTCCATGTACAGTTGATCTCTCCCTGAATACTCACCATCATGTTTTGTAGTTATTTGTTTCTGCCTTCTTTATAAGGCTGTGAGCTTCATGATGGTAGGGACTGTGGCCTTTTATTCCTCTTCTTATGCAGGGCCTTGTACAGTGATTGGCCCAGAGCAGGTGCTTCCTAAATGTTGAATTAGTAATCAGGGGCTCACGGGTTTACTAAGATTTTTGTACTTCTCTCTTCCATTTCACCAGGCTGCAGGAATTAGTTGATCGAGTCCTAGAACGTTTTCAGGCATCTGGACTAATAATGAAAGAGTGGACTAGTGTGAAACTCCATGCTACTGTCATGAATACTCTGTTAAGGAAAGATCCCAATGGTAAGTCCACAGAACTGTAGCACAGTTTGTCATTAGTAAGGCCAAATGATAAAATCTCTAGAGTTTAAGTAGAATGGGCCTATCAAATAATTTCTGATATATCTTCTTTTTTTGATCTGTTAGCTTGTTTAAATGAGCACAGTGGAAGTGTGCAGGGACATGTCTAGCATGAGATTGTGGCATCCCTACCCTTTTATTTCTGTCATACACAGGGTTGTCAGATTTAGCAAATAGATATATAGGATGCCCAGGTAAATTTTAGGTAAACAATGACTAATTACTTTAGTATAAGTATGTCCCATGCAATACTTGTTGGCTTATTTTGAAAGAAGAAAGGAACATTAGCTGGTAAAAGTAAATGTTAGACCAGTGGTTCTCAACTAGCGGCAATTTTATCCCCTAGAGCAGTGGTCACCAACCGGTGGTCCGCGGACCGCTGGTGGTCCATGAGGTCCGAAAGGTTGGTGACTGTTGGTTTAAGGAAACCTTTGGAGCAGTGGTCACCACCTGGTGGTCTGTGAGGTCTGAAAGGTTGGTGACTGTTGGTTTAAGGAAACCTTTGGAGCAGTGGTCACCAACTGTTGTTCCGTGAGGTCTGAAAGGTTGGTGACCACTGCCCTAGAGGATATATGGGGTTGTCTGGAGACGTTGTTGGTTGTCACAGTTAGGGGACTAGGGGTGGGTTTCTGCTGACATCTAGTGGGTAGAAGTCAGGGATCCTGTGTAACCCTCTGCAACACACAGTATAGACCCCCCAACAAAGAATTATTCAGTCCAAAATGTCGACAGCACCAAGGTTGAGGAACCTTTTGTTAGAGTAATAATTTTTTCCCCCTCATAGAATCTGAGGCTTCTTATAAAAATGCCTTGTTTTAACCCTACATTTCAAAAAGGATCTTCTTTTCTTTCCACTTCCCCTCCCCAACTGAAAGCTTCTTTAACACATTCAGCATCTGTCTGATCAGCCACAAATTCAAGTTCTATGCAGCTTCTTTTTCAAAGACCTGTTGTGTAAAAGATATCAGCACAGAATCCCATGTTTAGTGTTGTTGTTTTTTAACTCAATAATTCTTTTATTTTGATTTTAATTTAACCACTTGTGGACTACTTCAGGAGTGTTAAGAAATGACTTGCAGATATACTTAAAAATACTGAATTAACAGCTAATTTGAATGATATGTTTCTAGGCAGTTCTCATTTTGTCACTTACTCCATTTAAACTCAAGGTCCTTATTTATACCTCATCTCTTTCCTGAGCTGTAGAAACTCTACCTGGGAAGAGAGGAATACCAGGTAATCTCCATTTCCACTTCTCTGTGAGCTTGGGTTTGGAGAAATGAACCTCAGAAAGTAGAAAGTAAGATACTAAACAGGATTGAATCAACATAAAGGGACCCCAAAGTAGAGGGATGGAACCAACCTTTTAGGTTATAAAATGCTCCCAAGAACCTATTTCTAATCAGAATTGGCATCTGATTTCTCTACATCTTTATTATGTCTTTTTTATTATTGCCATTCTGTGGGTGTGAAGTGGTATCTCATTGTGATTTTTATTATCATTTCCCTAAAGGCTAATGCTACTTATAGATTTTGAAACTATCATTAAACATTTCAATCTTCAGATATGATTACTGTTTTTTATAGATAATTATTTAATATGATTTACTTTAAAATTCCACATCTTCTCTTAACAGGGGACTTATTTTTAAGTTGCAAAATATCAATGGAATTGGGAGCTTTGATTAAGAGAATATTTCTAATTAGAGAAATGGTTCCATAGTTACCCATATATAATTCCAATGGGCTAGCTAAAATATATTTTGTTCATGGAGTTAGCACTTAAATCTTAGTCCTTAAATCTGGTTTTTATTTTATTTTATTAAGGGCTAAGATTTAAAGACTTATATATATTTTATCAACATATAAAAATATTTTATCAATACTGACTTGGTAGTCCCCATACCTATATGCAGTAAAAGACCATACTCACAAATGGAAATGCAGATATTTTTTAGGACAGGAAAGGGTTGATATTTTTGGAAAATATCTTCAGAGTTAAATAATTCTTGAGGATGCTTTGATTTTTCTATACCCTGTATTCTTCTTTGTGTTGAATTTTTACTTGAAAGGGACGTAGAATAAGGTTTTATGTTTTCTTTCCTGTTATCCCTTTCTTTTGATATTCCTTTTCATGCTATACTTTAAGGACATCTTTTGGGATAAGCAAGCTAAATTAAATCAAGGAGTTAGAGTGCAGCTTTGATGAGGCTAAGCAGAGATTTGCTACATTTCTGTGTAGAATGTCTATTAGGATACCTTTGATTGTAACTAAAGGGGTCTTCCTCATTTAGGGGGTGTCCCAAAATCAACCCAAAGCATGGTTGTCAGCATTTTTGACTAGTTAATGTGTGAACTTTTGTCTATTTTTATATATTAAAAATACATGCAGCTTTTATAAAATCCTGGGTTTTTAGTCTGCGAGGAGCCTTTGAAGAACACCCAGTCTTAACCAGTAACTTTGACTAAGTAACTTTGACTAAGAATATAGCTAGTTACATAGTTAATGTACAATGACTGCTTGAACAATGTTGAATGAATAAATGTATACTGAATGTGTTGATAACAGAGCTAAGACTAGAGACTGGGTCTCTTGACTAATACTGTGGTGTTTTCCCTCCATATTATGCCAGATTTTGCTAGTTGTACTTATAGAAACCCAAGAGAAAACAAACATAAATAGTCCAGGCTTCTCTTCTGACATTTTCTTTGTTATATTTTACAGCTGAAGGCAGGTACAATATCCACACAGCAGATGGCAAATACATCTTCAAAGAAAGAGAATCATTTGATGGCAGAAACATCTTAAAGGTCAGTAAGAAAGAGAGTGAATTAGAAATCCATTGACCTGTGTCCTAAATAAGCAAGGAAAACAAGTCGTTCTCTTTTTCACAGTAAAGTATATTTTTCTTATTCTTCCCATGAGGCTCATTGACTGAAAGGGTTACTTAAAAACACTTTTTTTAATGTCCTAAAAGAAAAGAGAAATTTTTTGACTCTGTTAAGGCTGTGGTATCTCTAGAGTATTTGAAATTGATGATTTAAGCAACAAGAATCCAACTACTTGGATCCATAGGAATAAGTTGGTTTTTAACCTGGTGAGTTTTATACTGTTATTTTTATCTTTGGAGGTCTGAGTTTGCATTTTTTAAGTGAAAATAGAATTGTTTGTCTTGTTCTAGAAGTTTTCTTTTCTCCCACAAAGTGACTCTCCAAAGTTGTTTCATAATCTATTTTTACTCAGGAACAGCTCATGTCCTAAAAAGTAGGTAGTTTAGTTCTGACTGTTGAGGCTTTGCTTTCTCCATGTTAAATTAATCCATGAAATTTAAATAAAAGGGGCTCTTCAGGATTGCATTTATCTTTCTTCCACAGACCACATTCTGTAATGTCCACAATTTATGCCCTCTCTATCAGGTTAACATGCCATTGCGTTTCCGGGCAAAGAGAAACATAAGTTGATGCCAATGGAGAGGTTTTTGATTCTGCATTTCACTTGTTCTATAATGGTTTAGGTCATACATTTGCAAGGCCATGGATGTTTTCTTTGGAGCTGGGAGAGAGAGAAAATGCATATAATCAGCTTTAGCTTTGGAAATACTTTTTTTTTTTTCTTCCATACCCCGTCCTTGTCCTTCATGCCCTTATCTCATTTTGTCCCTCGACAGTTTTCTTGTCAGTTGCCTCTACTTACTGACATCACTCTTCAGCAGCTGCAGAGCCCAACAGGGCAATGACAGCATTCACTTAGGCCAGTGGTTCTCAACCTTGGCTGCACATTAGAATCACCTGGGAATCTTTTTAAAATCCTGATTTCTGGGCCTCCATCCTCCGGAAATTCTGTTTCTTTGTTACTAATCTTGTGGCCCCACCCCATAACAAAGAAACAGAATTTCCAGAGGATGAGGCCCAGAAATCAGGATTTTAAAAAGATTCCCAGGTGATTCTAATGTGCAGCCAAGGTTGAGAACCACTGATTTAGGCCAACATTCCAGCTCCCACATTGCAGAGCTACATTGATTCCTTCTTTTCCTTATACTGTATCTTTCCTCTTTTTAAATATTTTTCTTGTTTTCAAAGTGTTTATGGTAGGTTTGGGTTTGAGTGACAGGCTGCTAATGAATTTAGTTGCAATTAACTACTGATTTTCTCAGGCCACAGCTTCAGTGTGATATGAATCTTTCTCTTCCTCTATCTCATTTCCTTGGAGACTTTCCAGTAGTATAGTTAATTATTTTGCTTTTCTGTTGTTAATTTGACTAAGAAAGAAAATAGACTGAGTGGGAAAAGAAATCTGTAGGAATGATTCAAATCAACTGGGTTCTTTTGGAATTAGAATAAAAACACAGACGATGTGTTGATGTGAAGTGCTTTGATGTCTATAAGAGGGAGGTGCCAGCAGAGAGCCTGTGGGTGTGTGTGTGTGTGGGGGGGAGGTGGTGGTGGTGGTGGCTGTATGAACATTATGGATTTCTCACTTGATATTTAATTTCTGTCACTTTGTTAAGTCAGTTTTCCATTTAAAGATGCTTTGTCTTCAAATCTCACTAACCAGCTCAGTGATGACATGAGTGTAGCTCCCTCTAGTGTTGGCAAGGCCTTGCTATATCTTGTATCTCCATAGCAGTAGTACCTGTATTGGTTCATGCTGAATCAGAGTTTTAGAACTGGGTAATTGGAGATCATTTCTTTAATCCCGTTCCACACTAATGGCACAAGATCCAACCAGGTTAAAGTGATTTGCAAAAGATTATTGCTAGTTAGTAATATAGTTTGAATCAGAACAAAAATTCAAAACTCACAAATTAAAATTGTTTCTGCTGCCTCCCATAAAGATACTCAGTGTTTATTTTTATTTAATATATTTTTTATTGATGTCAGAGAGGAAGGGAGAGGGAGAGAGAGATAGAAACATCAATGATGAGAGAGATTCATCAATTGGCTGCCTCCTGCTCGCCCCCAACTGGGGATGGAGCCCGCAACCCAGGCATGTGCCCCTGACCGGAATCATACCCGGGACCCTTCAGTCCGCAGGCCAATGCTTTATCTACTGAGCCAAACCAGCTAGGGTGATACTCAGTGTTTAGATAGAGATCATTAGATATTTAAAAGTAGGCATATCTATTTGAACTGTGATAATGTCTGACTAAAACTTGTTCCATAGCCCTGGCTGGTTTTCTCACTGGTTAGAGTGTCGACCTGGGGACTGAAGAGTCCCAGGTTCAAGTCAGTCAAGGGCACATATCTTGGTCACAGGCTTGATCCCTGGTCTGGGCGGGGTGCATGTGGGAGGCAACCAGTCCATATGTCTCTCTCACATTGATGTTTCTCTCTGTCTCTCCCCTCCCTTCCACTCTTTCTAAAAATCAATGGAAAAATATATCTTCGAGTGAGGATTAACTAACTAACTAAATAAATAAATAAATAAAAATAAAACACAAGCCCTTAGGCATTTGGGGCTAATAAAAGACACACACACACACACACACACACACACACACGTACACACACACACGAAACTTGTTCCATAAACATTGGGGCAGTGGGTGTGCCAGTTTGTCTAACACTGTGTGGCTAATTAAGAATTGGACTTTTGAGCTGATTTTAATACTGTCACATACTTTTTGTGTACCATCTGCCAGACCATGTGCCCTGCAGATAAAACAGCCATCCTATGTAATAAAGATGTAATATGCAAATGGTCATTACACTGTGAAGTGTAACGACTGACTGGGTAACGACTGGATCACGGATCAGCAGGAGGGTGGGGCAGAGAGCTACAAGTGGGTAGCAGAGAGCTACAGGAGGGGCCAGGGCAGCAGACTATGAGGGGGGCGGGGGAGGAGAGGGGGAGCTACAGGAGGGCAGGGTAGCAGGTGGAGAGCTACTAAAGGGTGGCAGCGAGCTACTGGCGCACGGATTCGTGCACAGGGCTACTAGTTATGATATAATCCCTGCCTTCCAGGAGCTTACTGTCTTTGAAGGGGTACAGATGATTAACTGGCAATTTACAATACAAAAGGGTGGGGGCAAGTTATGAGTATGGAGAAGTACCTTTGAATACAGCTAGTTAAAACATCCTTTGGTATGGTTTCCAATATTTTACTCCAGAAAATATCATCTTTCACCTGTGTTTTATCAAAGGGATTAACTTTTCTTTGAGAATAAAGGTGACATATGGCCTCCCCAAATACATAAGAGGTAATAACTGTATTTGTAAAGTAGTTATAGCAGTCCACCTTTTGGAATTACCACAAATAGACATGTCTTTCTCCAATAGAACATGAGAACCCGTGGCTCCTGAAACTCTTGGGGGGAAAAATAAAAAACCAATGGATTATACATATAGTTTTTGTACCAGATAAAATTATTATGTTTAGAAAGGAGGAAAAATTGATTTCACTAACAAGATAGGAACTGACTTGGAGTAAACGGAAAGGTTAACTGCATAGTTTGTTAAGGTTGAATTCAGTTGCAGTTAACTACTGCAGTTAATATGTGTGCAGCATATTAGCAGCTACATAGATCAAGTGTCAGGAATGTGGTGATGGGAAGCAGCCTTGGGAAAGAATCAACTTAACCTACTATTTAAAGAGAAACAAAACGAGAATGCAAGTCATTGCTCATTGCTGTAAGAATGTAATGAGTAACAGCCAATTGCCGTTCTCCTCTGTGAAGAGAACTGGTCATTTCGGCTCGATGCAGTAGTTCTGGGTGCCTTAAAAAGAAAAAGGAAAAAAGCTCTAATGACTTTTGGAAGAAGCCACGTTTTTCTTTTGTACATCTCTTTTGAGAGTTGTTGCAGGTATCTGCTTATTTCTGGTTGAAATAAGACTTTTCTTACCCCAAGAAGGACTTTGAAAGAACTGAAAATTAAAGAATAATTCTCCTGTGTGTTTTTCAAACTAGAAGAGGAACAAACATATTTAGTTATGGTGGGTTTTTTAATAGAACACTGACAGATAACTTTGAAAGGAGGATGTTTGAGTGAAAAAGACCTAAGCCAAAGTAATAGGATAGTATACCCTCAGAGCATTCCATTTCTAATCTAATAAATACAAACTAAAATACTATTTGTTTATCCATAGGCAATGCTAAAATTATGCGGACCTAAAGACACACTACCAGGAAGTAACTGCTCCCTTCCTAGCCAGAAGTAGAATGGTCATTAACTGCCAGCTCTGGAGAGAGAAATGGTCCTAATGGCAGTCTGTTTGGGGGACTTATGAAATGGCCTTAAGCAATGGAATCAGTATTCCAGGCGTGTGCTCTCAGCAGATTGAGCAGGGGTGCAGTATTAACTGTTCAGAGGCTTAGCTGTAACTGCAGAATGAAGAGGAGACATCAGAGCTTTCGTTGTACTCACCAGAGGAGGTGGTTTGGTACAAATAAAGGCTTAGTAATATATTTGGGAAGGAATAGAAAGAAAGTACTGTAGGTCCAAGATAAAGGACGCCATGGAAGTGCCATTTCTTTAGACATTTTAAAGTCCTGGGAAATTCAAGCCAAATAAAAAGGAAATGAATTTGTGCCTTTCCCACTTTATATATAATAATCTTTAAATTTAGAAAAAGAGGGAGTTTGCAGTATTAAACTATATTAATTGTAATGCTTTACTTGAAAGCACGTTTTAAGTCTGTCCACATTGAGACTTTTCTTGAAAGATGTAAATAAGAGTAAAGCAAATATTTATTTATTTTTGCTTTTGTTCCATCTCTTCCCCTTAAACTCTTTTAAAAGGACAGTTAGAATGAATACATTTAAATTAGATCTTTATTTAGTTTGCTATACTTAGAGAAGTTTCTGTAAAG